AGAGCTTAGATTAAGGGCTATAAAATAAGGTACTAAACTTTCTAATAAGGTAAGTATTAGTAGAGATAATTAAGAAAAACGATCCCGAGGTGGAGACCCGACTCGCCAGCCTAGGCGGGCCGGATCCGGCCTAGCGCGCAGCTACTCGTGCCGTCCATGTGACCAAAAGGTAAGCACAAGACAACAAGCTTGTCTTGTTGTCATGATAGCTGGATATATATACTCGGGATCAGCGCGCGATGCGCTAATCACTACTTGGCATAGCCAAGTTATCATCAAGGGCGTAGCCCATTACACTCTTCACCTATAACACCTATCCCTGCACGCGGATTAGATTTGCTAGGGAAAATAATTAAAGGGACTCTCTTTGTTCGTATAATAATATGAGGTTTTGTAAAAAAACTATCGTATTAACGGTAATATCGTATTAAGCGTCGGCACTCGCCCGCGACGAGTGTCAGCGCAGCTGACTTAGCTTAATAAGTTAAGCCTTGGCACGGATAGAGGGTAGCCTAATAGATAATCGAGTAAGTTCGGAATTTCCGAAGGTAGCGCCCGTTGTAGCTAGTGATCCGGAAGTCCCGGAACGCTTGCAGTATGGAGCTATATAGGGAACTACTTTAGCATAATTAACTTGTTAATCACTTGATCTATCCTTGCAGGGAAACATTCTGTAGTGACGACTGATATTTCACCAGAGCTCTCTACGCGACAGCCTTTCCCCGCATATCGGATAATCCGTCTCTCCCGACTCGCACTGTATTGACCAAAGTAGATATATAGTGGTCTCAGGACACGAAACTATGGTCACTAAAATCTCGGACCTTTCCTACAATCATGCTGCGCTCATTCGCAATCGCGCTGCTTATGGCGCCAATTCAAGCTTTTAATCTTTCGTACACGAACCCAATCATACCAGGATGGCACTCGGATCCAAGCTGCGTATTTGTTCCTGAGCTGGACGATACCTTCTTCTGCACAACATCAAGCTTTGAGTCATTCCCAGGCTTTCCAATCTACTCAAGCAAGGACTTATTGACCTGGAAGCTTGCCAGCTACGGGTTGAACCGCTTGGAGCAGTTCCCACCTATCCTTACTACGAACAACCTGGAGTTTGGTGGCATGTGGGCAAGCACTTTACGTTTTCACAATGGCAGATTCTACCTCATCTCGACATGGTTCAATGCGGATATCTATAAGCCTGGGTTCGTACTTACCAGCACAGCGGATCCATATGACAACGATTCCTGGCAGAAACTTCTCGAAATCAATCCACCGGGCGATGTTATTGACCCCGACCTTTTCTTCGATGACAATGGTTCCGTTGTCGTCGCGACTTCAGGAATGCCTATTCGAGCATGTTATCTTGACTTGGCAACAGGGCGCACTAGTACGCCGTGGATGCTCTGGAACGGCACTGGTAATTCAAGCCCAGAGAGCCCGCATATATATAAAAAAGACGGTTACTACTACCTTCTCATTGCTGAAGGTGGTACAGCGATCGGTCATGCAACAACAATGGCGCGATCCAAGACAATAAACGGGACATGGGAACCTATGCCGCATAATCCACTCGTTTCCAATCGAGGCACAGATGCATACTTTCAGACAGTTGGCCATTCTGACCTCTTCCAAGATTTTAACGGAAATTGGTGGGGTGTGGCCCTTTCCACTCGGGGTGGACCAAGATTATATAATGCATCCATCGCCCCCATGGGTAGGGAGACCGTGCTCTATCATGTTTCGTGGCCAGAAGGAGAATGGCCCACCGCAAGCCCTGTCACTGGAAGAATGACTGGTCCTATTCCCATGCGTGGCAACTCTAAAAACCTTCCTGGTCTGGGTCCATACGTAGGCATGGCCGATGTAGTTGATTTCGCGCCTGGATCATCCGTACCGAAGAATTGGATAACTTGGAGGCCTCTGTACAACGCATCCTCAATCCAAGTCTCTCCTAAGCATACTCTGCAAATCCAATCCTCTCGCGCAAACCTCACCGGAGACTCCTCGTTTAACGCTACAAATGAAGGCATCAATGCAATTTTCCGCAAACAAGAACACACATTCTTTAATTTTTCTGTTGACCTTCACCTCGGATTCGCCTCTAGTTCCGATGACAAGCTCGGTGTCTCGAATTTTCTACAACAACAACAACAACACGTTAACCTTGGGGTTGTCTATCTCTGCGATGAAAAGAATGAACTTGCACCGTATTTCCGCTTTCGTGCACGATCCATCAAGGCAAAGGCCCCGGCGGATATTCTAGAGCCTGTTCCAGTGTCATGGCTTGATGGACCAGTACGCATTCGCATCATCCCGGATTCGGAAAGTGTTTTCAGCTTTTTTGTCGCACCAGCTGCGCGGCCCAAAGAACAGAGACTTCTTACGTCTTATTCCACAGCTTTACTTACGTATGATGGTGCGGGAACAGGTGGACTGTTCGGCATTTATGCTACTACAAACGGGAACTCGAATCACTCATTCGAGGCGCACGTGAGCCGCTGGCGATATTTGCCCGTTGCGCAGAAGATTGATTATGATACTATAATTATCAATTACGAGTACATCTAAAGCATAGTATCTACATGGTAACTAAGGTCATGAAGCTGCACAGCCATCCAGCCCCAGCCTCATGGAGAGGGTATTTGAGGAAAGTTATTCACCAGTGCTCTAAGCCTCTGACTGGCAGTCGCAATATGCATAGCCACACGCATAGCACGATGCTGACTCAGGTAGATTACTGCAGTAAGCCAGCCATGTGCAGAAAGCATGTCTCGGACAAGTATCAAGCGGGGTAGCGATCAGATATGAGTTCTGATGCCACATCTGTCTCGGAGCTCTTGCCGAATTTTTAGCTTCACTAGTATCTTTAAGAGCTTATACAAGTTAACATAAAAGTGCAAGCACAAGAGAGGGCTGTAGTCGCGCGCTTTGCTAGTGATGGCATAATAGCTTCTTTTAAAGCGACTCTTTCCGGATTAGCTCGCTTGCGACACCGTCACAGTAATTTCTGTATAGCGAGGGCGCAATAGGTATAGAAAACGCTAAGGAACATAACTTTCCTCTAATATAGCGAAAAACAAAGCATGTGTAGAGCCATGCACTGTAAAAGTCGAAGTACTCCTCGATTTTTGCGGCACGGCGGGATTTGCAGCACGCAGGGATAGATTTTGGATGTGAAGAGAGTACTAGCGTTTTGTATTTGACAGGGCATTTCAAGTAGATACAAGAGACTTAATCCGGATTACTTCTCACTAGATGTAAAGGGACAAATCGGAACTCCTCTATTGTTAGAGAGGAGGTAAAAGTAGAGACAGGGTTAGAGAGAAAAAAGCAGCATGGACATGTCGATTACAAGCTACTGCCGAGCTGTAGTAGCCTTTTATGCCTTATTGACGCTTTTAAATTCTGGAAAGAACAAGTCTCCCTAAGATCACGGTGGTAAATAGGTAGAGGTAGGTGTATGATAGGTTTGCTACGAGGTGGGTAGTGGTAGAGTAGGGGAGTAATTATCTAAAACTATACTCTACCTCTACCCATCTCTACCTATTTACCACCGTAGAGACGATATAGCGAATCTATAGGCACTAGCGCGCTATCTATTCTTATTATAACTTTATTTTAGTTATTATACTTAATAGAGGTTATCACTAGTATTACTAGTATATTTTTATTCAACTATAAAGTTCATTTTTCAATCCGTAATTGCGGTAGGTTAGGGTGTAGCCTGCTATTCTTTTCTAACATAACTGATTTTATACGCTACACATCAAATAGGTAGAAAAAAGTGAGCTAACATAACAAAGATACTTTGAATAGTAATTAATCTACTCTCTTGATATCTATTATTATTATTATTATTATTATCTATGTATGGTGGAGCTATACGCTTGTAGACTACGCTAACGCTCAAAGAGTATTTTCAAGAAACGCTCTAGGAGCAATTGAGGTTAAAAGGCCAGGTGGCCGGGATCTGGTCGCAAATACGGTCATTGATGCTGAGACCACCAGCCCTGCAGTACGTAGGAACTTGGGTCTGGGCGTACAAACCGACGCTGTGTCGCAGTCAGGTTTTATGCTTATGCGCAATGCGGAAATCAGGGAAAACTTACGCAGGTCCGGTCTCGTGGTAAACAGCGAGGTTGTATTGGGGGTTGTTCATGTCGAAGTCAGATTGCACGGGCTGGAGACCAAACCTGTACTTGCTGTCACCGCAGGTGTAGACAGGACTAGGAATTTCCTGAATGGCTCCGCTGGGGCTTGTGCATTGTAGGTCGGTAGCGTTGTTGCCAGTGAGCTTGAAACTAACAGACTCGACCTGGTTAAAGTTCCAGCGCAGGGAGTAGTTGGTAATAGTGACCACCTCGCCGCACTCAGAGGTAGTGGGGAGCGCAACGGCGGCGCTAGCGAAAAGAGCGGCAGCAGTGAAGAATTTCATAGTGACAAGTTGAGATTAAGGGGTTCGTAGTGGGCGTTGGTGAATTACTGGAGAGTGTGGTGTGAGTGTTGACTTGGGGAGGATCCGATAGTTGTATTTATGTATATTACACCATGTCTTCAAAGGCCCAATATAGCAACACTGCCCCATGTCACCAGACATTGTAACCTTCCAGGGTGAGGGATACAAGACATGACGGCATCCTAGCAACGCTGCCTCCACAGGCGGATATACCCCAGCCAAGTGGGAAAAGGTCCGAACCTAATAGCGGGCTCGAAACTGCAAACGCATACACGCCCGTGCACCTGTGATCACCTTACCCATTCTCAGATCAGGAGTACTGGCTTGGTGAGCTTCTATCGCACTTGTCGATGATATGGTGGTTGTTACATCCAATTCCTTATGTTTTCGCAATTCCATTCTGTGAAACCACCTAGACAAGTGAAACTTATACTAACAATTTCATACGAATACGAGAATGGTCCTGTGCGCTCACGGTGAGTACTTGCACCTCAACGCGTCACAGCCTATTTCACCTAGCCTTAAAAAATATCATCTTTCTCATAGTAGCTATCTTCCGCGGATACGAGGCTATCACGCTACGGCCGTATTACTGTAGCATACATAGATCCCGTGTGGACTGCACGCCACACCCGCCCGTACAAAGCCACTACTTGGCTTACGTCACGCCAATGATCCTTGCAGATAGTCAGGTGACATTACTAGTAGAGTGTACGCGCGGCATGTTTAAGCACTAGTCCTACTATGTCAGTCTCTATACTTAAAATAGCAGCCTCTGACGTAGAGGCCGATATGCTTTTGCGCAGAGTCGATAGGTGGCTTGTTTATTGAGTGGAGATTCAGTAGCGCAGACCCAGGTGACTAGTTGATTTGTGCATGGCACTACATACCAGTCGGGGTCTCGGGAAACTCGACCCGCATTGATCCCGAGCCACTAGTGGAGCCCGGCGTTTTCACCATTCTATTCTAAGCAGCACCCCGTGTCCACAACGAACATCAGAACTTTGTCTGGTCGCACTTCCCGGTCCTGTGCGCCATTTGCTCTAGAGCAGCTATCGAGGGGCTCTGGCTCAAGGTCACGATAGCGATTGCCAAAGAGTATCTGATAGCCTTTGATGATGTAGTTCATTCCTTTTGTGCTATGGCAATGTAGGTCCTACTTAGAGCCCACATGTTTTTACATCCCTGTAGTGGGAGCTATACAGCTCTTCTCGGATCAGACTTCGGATTAGTTAAATACAGCCGTATTATGTTAAAAGTGAAGCTATCATCGGTGTTCAAAACGGTCACACCACATATCGAAAGCTTGTTCTCTGCCAAGTAAGGCTTAGCCCTAACTACTGTATAGTCCTAGTGTGAATATTTCTGGGCTCTATTAAGTAGATTCATGCGTCTGCACGTTGAACGAGACTTCTAGCATACAGCACCAGGGGTGCGCAAGCGAGTAGATTCACTCAAGAAACTTACATAGACCATCATAATAGCCTGTTAGGCTATCGCGGGACGCCCCGACAACAGTATGTCTAAACCTGAGGTAAATCTAAGTTGTTAGAGATCTAAGCTATTCAGCTGATCTCTAATCCAATCGATCTATTAACCCCAGATCTAAGAATCTATCTAACGTGTCCCACCAGTGAGCTGCGCACCCCACCAAACTTAACGCGGCGTTCTACGCAATTAAGCCACAATAATGTAATAGAATAAGAAAAGATTAATAGATATAATTTATTATCTAGCTCTACACAAAGTACGAATATGTCCTTAAGTATAGCATTTCGTACACGTTAGCGGCACGCGCCGACGTCGCTCACCAGCCTGGCTCTAGCTAGCCTCCATGACCATCCTTTCTAGGCTGGCAAACGGGTCTCCACATCAGGATCTCAGAATCACGATTATCTCGACTCATAACTACCTAAATAGAAAGCTTAATAGCTTATTTTATAGCCCTAAGTTAGTAGTATATTTTCGTCTAATATAGTAGTAGGCTAACTTTAATAGGCAAGAAGATATTAAGTAACCCGTTATGCTAAGAGTTAGGTCTCTACATTTTACTCTAATCTTAGATATCGTATTACCTATCAGAGTCAGTGTCACGATACTCTAGACAGTAGAGGCCAGCCCTCAGGGACCCGTCGGAGACTACTTAGGCCGGAGGCGCGATAGCCACAGAGATAGAGTATATAGTCCTACTAGAACCCTTAGGTATCCCCCTAAGGATTCGTCTTAATCTACTTATCTAATATATCTTTACCTATCTACGAAATACCTTACAATTTAAATCCTTCTACTCTATATCTAGAAGAATAGTCGTAAGAATATTAAAACCTTCTATCTATACGAGGAAGTATTAAGACTATAAGTTACTTAACACGCAGCTCTAAAGAGAAGCAGGCGGCCCAACGCAGTACCAAGGCCTCACTAGCTAGAAGCTAGGGGACCAGCAATTAATTAGAGTTAGAAAGTTAGTAAAACACTAGCACTTAGCCCAACGTTAGAAACTTTATCATAATTAAACTAGATAAAGAATAACTATCTAGTGCTAAAGATAGAGAGAAAGGAAATCCTTAGCCCTCTAACGCATCCCCGGAAACCCTACGGGGAACCAATAGAGCCCCCTTAACGAGAAGCTTAGTGTTACACGGGGTTGGGTGCTAATACTTCTCTAGACTCGATCCAGGTTAGGGCGAGCAAGGTAGGTGAATAGCTCCGTAAGGTAGTTGTCTAGCGATACAGTAGAGTGGCGTGCTTATAAGATAGATAATAATAGGTTTAATAATTCCTAATCTATATTAAATAGACTAATGAGTATTATTCTTATAAAGTTAAGTAACTAGTAAGAAAGTATAATTTAAGTTAACTAAAGTATTCTATCACCGAGCCGGCTATTGTTACAAGCAACAACTAGAAGGATCTTCTCCCTGGGTCTAACGATGAATGGTTGGGAAACTACTAGGGATCCTAATAGGTATAATTATCGCGAGGCGATAATCACGTGACTTAGTATCCCGCTAAGACATAGCCTCTAGGAGGCCACCGTACGAAGGGAAGCTAACGTCCTCCTAAACCCCCCGCTAAGACGGGAGGAAAGGGAGGATAGGACTAGAAATAGTAAGGATATAAGGATAGATAGATTTTATTATTTACTCTTATTATAGTTAACTTAAATTAAACTTTTCTACTAGTTACTTAACTTTATAAGATTAATACTTATTAGTCTAT